TCCTGAGTCGGAGCCTCAGGGCGTTTCCGATGTGGTCGAGCTGAGTATCCCACATCTTGGTGAGCAGTGGCTCCCACCTCGTGAAGCGGTTGAGCGTGAGCTCCTGCCCGCGGTTGACCAGGGGTTCCCGCGCGCAGTCGAGCTGGAGCTCCCTGTACCTGTGAATATGGTCGAGCCTGAGCTCCCGCGCATGGTTGAGCTGGAGCACCCTGATGTTGTGGATGCAATCGTTCTACATGATTCGTGTCCCGGCGCCGATGACATACCCCGGCGCCCAACCGATCTCGCCATGATCGAGCGTGGGCACTCATCGCCAGATGTACTCCGTCCTGTTCGTCGTCGTAGTCGCCGTAACCCCCGCCGACCTCGTGCCCCGTCGCAGGACTCCGTCCTGAGCGAGCTCGAGACTATCACAGTCCTTGCTGGACACGCCTCGAACGATCTTCCGCGTCGCCGTGAAGTTGAGGTCGCACGTCCACCGCGCGACGCCGCGGCAATCACAAAGCTCCCCGGTCTCTCTTGGAAACATTTCCTCCGCGACTTAAAGCACGGCGACGTCGAACAAGTATGCTTACTCGTAGCTAGAGACGCCGCGTCCATCGCGACTGTCCACGTCGACACCGATGCCTCAGCGCCGGACCCCCAGACGCGCCCCACGGGCGCCGAACCGAAAACAGCCCGTGAAGCGCGCTACGCTGCACAATCGTTACCGGCCCTCGAAGCTTCCGGTAACCCTGTGGCCCCTCTCGTCCGTGAATTCATCGACATCTTCCCCGACAAGGTTCCGGCGGCCCTTCCGCCGGATCGCGGAGTCCGACACGAGATCGATCTCGTGCCTGGCGCCAAGTACTGTGTCACCAGACAGTGGCCGCTTCCCCGCGACCAAGTCGAGGCGATCGATGCCTTTTTCGAAAGTCGCCGGCAAGCCGGCCACGTTCGCGAGAGCTTGTCACCCCACTCCAGTCCTACGTTCTGTGTGAAGAAAGCGACCGGGGGGTGGAGGATCGTCCACGCCTTCAACAAGCTTAACGACGCCACAATCCCGGCACAAACGCCGATCCCACGAAAGGACATGATTCTTGACTCCATGTCGGGCAGCACCACGTATAGCGCGATTGATCTGATGGACGGATTCTATCAGATCTTGATGCGCGAAGACGACGTGCCGCTGACCGCCGTCAGCACGCCCAGTGGAATGCTGTGGGAATGTCTAGTCATGCCGCAGGGGCTCAAGAACGCCCCCGCCACCTCTAACCGCATGGTGTCCCACTTGCTGCGTCCATATCGCGACTTCGCGCCCAGTTACTTTGACGACATCTTCATTCATAGTCATGCCGACGCCGGCATGACTGACATCGAAGTTCATCTCCAACACCTACGAACGGTGTTCGGAGTGATGCGTGAAAACAAGCTCTACGCCAACCTGAAGAAATGCATCTTCTGCGCCCCCGAGATTCCAGTCCTCGGGAGCTACGTCAGCAAGGACGGTGTCCGTGCTGACCCCGAGAAAGTGGCAGCCATCTGCGCCTGGCCATCTCCTCAAGACGCGAAACAGCTCCGACAGTGGCTCGGCCTCGCGACGTATCTCCATCACTACTCGAAGAACTTCGCGGCGACAGTTCGTCCACTGTCGCAACTACTCAAGACCGATGCCACTTGGACATGGCGTCCAGAACATCAAGCTGCCTTTGACGCGGTAAAAACGAGCTTATCCACCGCGCCCGTCCTGATGCTGCCTGACCACTCCAAGCCATTTCACGTGGTATGCGACGCCAGCGACTTTGCCATTGGTTGCGCCTTGATGCAATTCGACGCAGCAGGGCGCGAACGAGTGGTAAGCTACCAGTCGCGCCAGCTGAAACCAGCGGAACGGAATTACCCCGTACACGACAAAGAGCTACTGGCCATGCGCTATGCGCTGCTCAAGTTCCGAGTTTACCTCTTGGGCGAACAGACCTTCGTCGTGTACACCGACCACGCGTCGTTGCGAACCGCAACGAAGAGTCCGCATCTGTCCCAGCGCATGGCGCGCTGGATCTCCCTTTTCTCCGAATACAACTTTGTTGTTCACTACAAGCCAAGCAAGACGAACATTCTTGCCGATGCTCTCTCGCGTCGGCCAGATTACGCTCAACTTGGCCGCCACGCGATTGGGGACGAAGACGACGACGAGTGCGCCGTGTGTTCTGCTGAAGATGTCACTGCGATGGAAGTCGCAGCGACCAGTTCGTTGCGCGACGCGATCTTGGCCGCGTACGCGTCGGACGCGGCGTGCTCCGAGCTGATCTCGTTCCTACATGATCCGTCGGAGCCAGCGCGGCGCCGACTGTCCCCGCGGGCCCGATCCCGCGTGAGCCGCTTCCGCTTACACGAAGGTTTGCTGACTTACAGTGTGGACAACGAAGACTCACCACGCATCGTCGTCCCGCTGGACGACGATCTTCGCGCCCGATTGATTCACGAGTTTCACGATTCTCCCAGTGGTGGCCATCTTGGACGCGAAAAGACCTTCGCGTCCCTCTCTCGCGATTACTACTGGCCGCACATGTACAAGTGGGTGCGTAAGTGGGTTCGCTCATGCGAAGCGTGCCAGCGCGTGAAGCCTTCCCCGTCGAAGCAAGCACCGCTTCGACCCCTCCAGGTGGCCTCGGAGCCGTGGTCCTCCGTCAGTATGGATTTCGTTTTCGGCCTTCCCCGCGACGCCCAAGGTCGCACTGGCATACTCGTCTTCGTCGATCGATTCAGCAAGATGGTCCATCTTGCTCCAGTCGCCGCTACGGTCACCGCCAAGCAGTCTGCGGCGACGTTTCTGGATCTTGTTTATCGCCATCACGGCTTGCCAACATCGATCGTTTCCGATCGCGATCCCCGCTTCACCTCAGCTTTCTGGTCAGAGATCTTCCGGCTTGTCGGGACGCGGTTGAAGATGTCCACCGCGTCGCATCCAGAAACGAACGGCCAGACGGAGCGTGCGAACAGGGTCGTTGAGGACGTGTTGCGGAGCTTCGCCACGTCATTCACGTCCTGGAGCTCGTTCCTTCCCATGGTCGAGTTCGCGATCAACAATGCGGTTCACGCATCGACGGGGCTCACTCCATTCTACGTGAACTACGGACGCCATCCCCGCGTCCCTGCCCTCCTTGGCATGGATCGTCGGTCCCCAGTCGAATCGGACGCGGTCACGCCCGCGCCAGTACCCCCACCGAACGAGACGGACGCCTCCGATGTTGCCCCATCCGCGATTCCCGCTGACGATAGTCGTGAGCAAGCTCACGACGTCACCTCCGCGATTTTGAATGCTGTCACCACCCGGCGTGGAGCCGCATCTGCCGCGCCAAGTGTGCGCACGCGTGGTACCACGGAGGCAACACCATCTTCACTGACCACCTGGACGCCCAGGACGCTGATTAACCCGCGTCAGCATCGCCGCGCAGTTGAGTACCATGCCGCGACAGGCTCGGCCGCTTCACCCGAGCCTCCGCCCGCAATCTTCAATCCGAACCCTGAATCGCTACCGCGTGATGCCGCGGCCGCTCTTGCATTCGTCCAACGACGCGAGTCGGTAATCCGCTATGTGCGCGACGCCATCGCTATGGCGGTGGATCGCCAGAAGGAGAACGCAGACAGGCGTGGTCGCAAGAATCTCGCGACGTTTGCAGTAGGCGATCGTGTTTTGCTATCCACCGACGGCATTACACCCACTTCTGTGACGAACTTGGGCGCCAACAAGCTGGCGCCGCGATATATCGGACCGTTCAAGATATTGAAGGTATTAGGTGACGCGTATACACTTCGACTACCTACAGCACTACGCCTCCACCCTACCTTCCACGTTGGTCGCCTCCGCCGCTATCACCCTTCGTCTATCCCCAGCGACGCGGATGGTTCCCCGCGTCCGGACTTCGGCGATCATCCCGAGGCTCGTCCTGACGTCGCACGCGATGGCGCAGCTCTTGATTCTCCCGCTCCAGATACTCCACACGCTGAAGCAACCGATCCAGACGCTGCGCGCGCGCAGCGTCTTCCCGCCGTCCGCGGTCCACCCTTTTAGCGTGACGGTCCCGCTCCTCTTGTCGATAGCGTGGGTAATCTTCGTCATATCGTTGACCGTATCCTGGAACACGAGGACCCTCGTGCTGCGCCCAACCTTGCTCATACGAGTCACGGCGCTGATCGCCATGACGCTGCCATCCCTCCGCTCCGGCGCTACCTCGTTCGGTGGCTCGTCCCCATGAAGGATAGTTGGGAGCCTCGCGCCATCCTTCTCGCCGACGTTCCGGACTGCGTGGCGGAGTACGAGCCTGGTCTCGTACCGGCGGCCGATCGTCACGCGGGCGCGGCCGTCCGCCGCGCCTAGCCTCGTCGAGGGCCCTCAAGTAACGTCCTATCACACCACGCTCCACTTCGGTAATTGAAGCAGCTTCAAGAACACGACCCCATTCTGCGTCGTCGGGTCGCGAGACACCACGCTCGCGACAACGCTGACACCCAGTTCGTCGCGCCGTACAAAAAGGAAAATGCTGCTTGCTTTCTCTCTGAAGTAGGGGATGGTGTGACGGGCCCATCGTCACACATCGCCATCGCATCCAATGCGATGGCCAATCAGCTTGTAGAGCACATCTACTGGTTGGCGTGGTCCGAGACCACGCCGTTAACTTTCAATACATCTCAGAGTCTAATTTGCCTGCTTCCTCACGCACAGTGTACGTAAGGTAACGGGTTGCTGAAAGCCCGTTACATAGATGATGCGTTAGACGATATTAACCTGGTACACGAATCATATCAGCAAGGAATAAGGTCCTCACCCGTTTAAAGTCCTCTCTATCACTTTCGGGCGGCACTATTAAATATAGTCCGGACTCTAATAGGGCGCGTCCGTTATTTTAATGAAAACGTTATTTAATTTTTTGAACATCCCAGCGTGTCTCAATGTTGTGTGAAAGTTGACTGTATGTGGTCCAAGCGAATTATGCTTGTTCGAATGCAACAGAAACAACTTCATGGAGTTGCTCACTCGTTGCTCGCGTCTCCCCTTTAGTGCGCGCCATCAGTTATGGCTATTCGGCAGCTGTCGTGGCCTTCGCGATTTCCCCATCAAAGTTTTGTGCCGCAACCAAAAGTTCGTGCGCAAAGCTGCGGGAAATTATTACGAAGTGGAGCGGGAGTGGAATTTGGGCATCGTGCTCCAACCTTCGGAAGTCAAGTCGCTGCGCAACCGCAATGCGGATCTATCCACAGCTTTTGGAGCTTTCTACAAGCACGAGCTGTTTCTACACGACTTAAACATTCCAGGTACGAATAACCTAATCAGGAATCTCTAGAAAATTATGACCACTAAATGTAGCTTCCACAATAGTATGGCGTCAGGGACTTATAGGTCGACCAGAGCCAACGCGAGTGCGTAAGCTGCTGGCAAACCGCTCGGAGCTCAAGAAACTACAAGAATTTGCCAATCGACCTAACGCACAACTCGTAAGGAACAAAAAATTAGCTGTACAATTTAATTTATGGAAATTTGTTAACAAGTCACTTTCTTAGATTCCGATGCGGATCGAGGTCGGCAACACTGGCTGGATCAAAGTCATCATGGCAGCATGCTTCAAACGTGGACAGATTGACAACCGCAGACGTGACGACGAACGAGAAATCAAACGCCAACTTCGTGATTGGTAACAAAAGCTTAGGATAAAAGCAACTGTTTTAAGAAAAACTAAAAAAAAAATCACGCATTGTTCAGCATTTTTTTTCTGCCGTCCAGCAATCAAGTAGACACACCGCTCACCCGCCTTAGTTGCTAGTGTTTTGTTCGTCCTGTCCCGTCAGGTTCTTCCAGCAATTCTGTCTCTGTTAATTTTTTTTCTCTCCGATTTTTTAACAGCAGCCGCTCGACTTCTTTTTACCGCCTCCGTACGGGTCCACGATCTCCGGCAGTGCATTACTTTCAGCCGAAGCTGTGGGTAGCGCCTGGCTGATCTGGATGAACAAGTCCGACACATTCGTGTCCTCCTTTGCACTCGTCTCAATGAACAACGCGCCGATCTCCCCAGCATATGCCCGTGCCTGTGACGCCGGCACCTCTCGCTTCTCCTCCAAGTCGCTCTTGTTACCAGCAATGGCAATCACGATATTGTCGGGACCCAATTGCTTCAGCTCCTTCACCCAGTTCTTCAGTGTCGTCAGTGATTGCTATAAAATCCCACATATATTAGTACCAAAAATAAGAATATAAACTCAGAGAAACCCTGTTATACACGCACCTTTCTAGTGATATCGTATACAACGATAGCAGCAGCTGCTCCTCGGTAGTACATGGGTGCCAAGCTGTGATACTGAGCACAGAAGAAGTCCCATTATCAGATTGAAGCAAGGGAAACAAGGGGAAACCAATACAAAATAATACCTTTTCCTGGCCGGCGGTATCCCAGATCTGATACTTAATAGGCGTGTCGTTGACCACGATCATCTTGGACATGAAGGACGCGCCGATTGTGGACTCGGAGTATGGACGAAAGTTGTTGGTAACGAAGCGCAGTACAAGCGAGGACTTGCCCACACCTGTGTCGCCCAGCAGCACCACCTTGACCTCGCGCGCCTTGCTGTTGCCTGCGTCTGCCATTGTTCCGTTCTATCAGTCGCTCACGTTCCAGACACTCGCGTTCTGTTCTCTCTCGCTTTTCTCGCTCTGTGCAGACGAAGAGACGACTTTTGGCCAATGGTAGACGACAACACTGTCGATTGGATGAAACACGTCTCAGTGCCATTACCTAACTGGGCGGAAAACAGCAGGACCAACTTAAAACAACCGAGACCGACACACCGAGCAGTGCTCTACCGTAGACCACAAGCGTTTATACATGCACTCGACGACAAGCAATTGGTGCTGGAAGCGTCGATGGTGATTGCTTTAGGCTTATTGTTAATAGTCAGTAGTCATCTCGCGACGACAGAGTGTTGTCTGCTGGGATAGTCGAATACAGGACAGCGCGTACGTTTGCTTCGAGCTGTTGAAGCAATCGACCAAAGATGGCTACCACGCCACAAGTCTCGGCAGCTCTTCTGCTTCGCGAGTCGCAACAACGTGACTTCGCGATGACCAGGAAACGTCCATGCTCATCTGACTCCACTTCTGAGCGCAAATCTGAGTATCTGACTCGACCGTAAAAATGAAATATCGTAATTACGCTTTTTACGAAACGACTGGTTGAAAGAACAACTCCCTACTAATTCATTTGCAGATTTCTCGCTGGAGCTCCGAGTATCTGTGTATTTGTCTTTGTACTTCTTTTTGGCTTTGTGGTCCCGATGATCGTTATAACTCTAGAATTACACTGACTCAAGTGATGACAATTATCCAGATGAGGAATCAATCTTCAGTATATTGTAGTAGACGGGCTGCGTGTGTGAGAATGATGAAAGTCTAGCTTTTTTTCTTAGGAAGTGCCGTCAGATTATGTTGAACATTATGACGACAATAAGCTGTTGAGCCTCCTCCGGGGAGCTCCTGAGACTCCACACAAACCCAATTATTCATTTCTGCATAAAATGATTCCGTGGAATCTGAAAGCTACCTGCGACAGTGCATCCCATTGTCTTCTTCAAGCAGTTTGGAAACCCCTAGCATGATCGCATTGACCCTAAGTAAATGCTCAGTGAGCCCTGGTTGTTGAGATCAATCCAAAGTTCCCTTTACACAACGTAAGCAGACATTTGTCTTCATCATGACCAAAGCGGACACTCTCATCGCTGTAGCTGTAGTTGCTTTGATTGCCACACACAACGTCAACGCAACATTTGTCCGCAGACTAACTGATGAAGACAGTGGATCACTCGACTTTGACTCCTCGGAAGGCTCTAACGACGACAGTGCATCATCTCTGGAAGATTTCCTTAACAGTCAGGCAGGAGACACCGTGCCGAAGTTTGGCCAATGCGGAGGCATCGGCTTCATTGGCAACTCGCAGTGCGCTCACGGCTACGTCTGCGTCCTTTCCAATCCCTGGTATGCGCAATGTCTGCCCAAAGGCTCGCAGACGTCAGTGCAGACCAAGAAGCACAGCCATCGCTCGAAAGTGCACACCGAAGATGCGGATCTCTTGGTTGACGACCTTACGACCGCTGAGGTAATCCCAGCATGGGAGCAATGTGGAGGCAAAGGAGTTGACTTTGATTTCACCACGGACGACTCTAAGGACGAGGAAACTCCAAAGAAACCTTGTGAGGAAGGCTACTCTTGTGCAGTCATCAACGAATGGTACTACCAGTGCAAGCCACTCGAGAACCCCTCGGGTGTTCATCTCTGGGACCAGTGCGGCGGTGAGGACTACACAGGCCCCGCGGATTGCACTGCTGGATCTGTGTGCAAGTACTTCAACGCGTGGTACTCGCAATGCGTCCCCAAGGAACAAGAGTTCTCGTAGCTTAATAGTATTGAGTCAATACCAAGTACTAGCTAACCGTTCGCGATAATATATGAGCTTACTAAGCAGCATACTGGGTCTGCCTCGACGTTTTTGAGAAGCAAATACCGGTATTTCATGACATGTCACTAAGTCAAAAGCATTTTTTAAAGTTTATTTTTGTCTGATTCACTGACAATGCTGGGCGACGACGATGAGCTCCATCGCCTGCGCCGTTTGAGGCTGCTACAGTGTGTGCTCATGGTGTTTATGCTGCTTATCTGCGTCAGCAGTGACTACTTTCTCTTCCAGCAGTACGTCATTCCTCCCGTTGCTCGCTACTCCTCCTTTATTTCCAAAACAAAACTGCTTTTTTAGTGTGTATCTACTAGACTACAAGCTTCTCCGTCACTTTGTGGATTCATTGGCTCATGGCAGCGTAGCATTTTGCTGCTGGGCAGTGTTCTTGCTCCAAACGGAGAAATTTTCCGAGTCTGGAGACTCCACGCTGCAACTTGTAAGAAAGTGCTTTCTTAATGGCATCACCGCGTCGCTGCTAGACATCGACCATTTCATCGCTGCTGGGGCTTTGAATCTTGCTAAAGCAACCCATTTGCATGGCCGCCCATTCGGCCACTCTGTCACCTTCATCATCGCGGTGGTATGGCTCGTTACTCGGTACTCGAAAAAGTGTCAAGCTCGAAAGAGACGCAACCGAGTAAGCTTCATCGTCGTGGCTTGGTTAAGTCACCAGCTTCGGGATGGAATGCGACGTGGATTATGGTTTTGGCCCTTTGGCTCGACACCTCCTATCAATTACTTTCTCTATTTATTTATGGAGGAAAGTCTGCCTTTCATAATGGCGAAATGGTGGAGTAAGGCTCCGGCGTTGACAGAGATGGAGAAGTTGGAGCTTGCATTGCAGAAGGTAGAAGAAGATATGGATGGGTCGGACGAAGAAGAGAACAACAATGACCAAGAAGGAGCAAGGTTGCTTACGATGACGACAGAACGACCGTCTTCAAGCGAGAATCTAATTGTTTAAGTGTATATAATATAGATTATTGAATATACTAAAAACAAATTACGCCGGTTGTGTTTTATTTTTTGGTATAATTACAGATGAGAAACGCATTATGCATATCCCATCTTGAGTGTTGGTAAGTTTCAGCGTAGCTTCTCGTATTGAGCGAGATAAATGCCACTACGTCGCAAGTGGTAGTGGCGGTTTGAGACAAGTTTATCTTCATTTCCTCTTTGACTACAAGTGGAACAAGAACATCTCTCAATATCCATGTTCAAGCGAATGGTTGTGCTTGTTTTTGTAGCTACCGCTGGCGTCATATTCAGCCACGTCGATGCCGCGAATTTGCGTCATCATGAGTCTGCACGCGACTTGGAAGCCAGCGACAGTGGCTCGACTGAACTCCTGCTCGACGAACTCTTTGGGGACCGGTTCCTGACTTTAAGCATCGACGGCTCAACTCTAGATGGAAGCAAAGACTTGGATGATGAAGGTTTGGGGGACGCAAGTCTCGAGGCAAGTCAGGAACTTGATGGTGGTTCGGACGACGATGTCACCGACTCACAAGACTCCGAAGATGGTAGTGAAGACAATCTAGGAACACCGTATCAACCCGGTACCATTAAGCCTGCTTCAATTGACAGCTCAAGCCAGGGGTTTGACAAGGACAGCTTGTCTTGGTGGAAATAAGCACTACTTCACACCTGGTGATCGCTTCAAAGATAGTATTTTTCAACCACTTTTCGTGTATCGTTGGTACAGTTGCTATAAATTTTCATGTTCATACTTCGCGAAGAATAAGATGGAGTGAGAGGTTGGAGCAACCGCTTCGCTGCACAACCGTTTCATTCCATGAAGTGCGTTGACGTTGCGCACTCAACGAGGCCTGACTTCAGACAATATACTTCAGTTTAGCTTGAATTTTTCATTTCTATTTGTGGTTAGCTTTTTTTAAGGCACCGATACAGACTGATTCCTGGTCAGCGTCTCATCAACAGCTTCCCGTTCTCCGCTTCCAACGTCTCCGACAGGAATATATATTCGAGAATAGCAACATATTTTGTGCTCAAGGGATAACCTGAGCCTAGATGCTCCCTTCGTTCCTATCACTTTCAATCTATCCACGGCCAGGGAAGCACCTCCGACCGACGTCTTTGAAGTTCCGACAGCAGCAACAATGACCAAGTTGAACGTCATCCTCAGTTTCGTCGCTGCCGCCTTGGCGCTCGCCACTTTCGATGGCGTCGACGCTGCCGGTCTCCGTAATAATGACTTTACTGAGCGTGTCTTATCCAGCTTCGATGCCAGTGCCAGTGACAGCTCTGATGGCGATCGCTTCCTGTTCGAGATGGAAGGCAGTGACGGATCGGATGTCGACAGCAGCGACAGCTTCGGTGGTGAGCGACTCCTACAAGAAATAGTAGAAGGAAGTGACAGCGCTACCGACGACGAGGGTAGTGAAAGTACCGACGGGGTGCGTTTCCTACAGGAGGTCGACAGCAGTGAGAGCGTTGCCAGTGAGCGTTCTCTTGTCGAAATGGAAGGAAGTGAGAGCGCCGATGGTAGCGAGAGTTTCGATGGCGCTCGATTCCTCCAGGAAGTTGACAGTAGTGAGAGTGATGCAGATGACAGCAGTGAGAGCGTCGATGATGAACGGTTTCTTGCTGCCTTTGAAAGTGAGGAGGGCAGTGAAAGTGGCAGCGCATAGCCAGCGTCTTCGATCGCAAGTTTAATGATTGCAATAAACAAAATCCTATAATTTCAGACAGAGTTTCTTTTGAAAACCCTCGTAAAAAAGCCTAGCAAAGCCTAATGTCCTGTCATATATAATAAAATGCACGTCATTGAGTACAGAGAATTGCTGGTTGCTTAGTACTTCGAAGTAGAAGGCTACAAAATACGTTGTATACACTTGCTGTCCTCAAAAATACATACCAGGTATCAGGTTTGTCATTTAAGTAATATCAAATTACTCCATAGTAATCTTTGGGAACGGACTGCATCTTGGCCATGGTCCTGCTTTACAGCGGAACAATCCGCTACATAATTCTTTGTGGTGTTCGTCAAAAAACGAAGACAAGGAGAAGGGAGCCGGTGGTGCTCCCTGGAAGTTAGCCGTTTTGTATTACTAAGTAAAAAGCAAAGTGCGGTCCTACTACATGCAGCTAGACTACATGGTAGTATTATGTAGTCTAGCTGCATGTACTATCAACATCTCCTGAGTATTTTTTAGCTCAATCTTCTCACATTTGTAAGCGCAAAACATTTTCGATCCTTGGGAAATGCTTACTGAGATCTCCTGGTCCGCCGTGCCTGTAAGTATTATTTCTGTTATACAAGAGGTGTCAAACCAGCACAGCTAATTTGTACTTCCACACGTTCTTATTGTCAGCTAAAATGCGCACATACAGTACTGCACCCCGTTTTCGCGCCCTTGGACCTTTAGTAAACTTCTGGATGTAATGATCCTGCATCCAAAGATTTATTGATTGGTAAGTTAAAATCGGATTTAATTGCAGATCCTATATGGTCCAACCCCGCGAAAACGGGATGCAGCACTGTATTTTAGTGAAAAGAGCTTTGGAGCAAATCGTGCAAGATTACAAAAGGCAATGTTTAAACGGCTGATACGTGAACCTTGAAAGAGCCACAACTCCTAAATCTGAATATCTTGATAGCGGTAACAGTCATCTCCACAGCTATTCCGCAAGAGTGGTCTGACCGAGAACTGTAATGCATCCGTACGTGCCTAAACGTACTTTGGTCTCGAGTTCGGTGTGCATGGATTTAGATGGGGAGAAAATGTCTATTTTAGAATGTATAATCTAAACTACAGTGTATCTGCACATGTAAAACATGTGCGTGCCACGTTGTTTACGGAACGGATTTGATGTTCTACGTGCCTCCCTCAGACAAATATGCAGTGTACATTGATACGCTTTTTTAAGCACATCAGCGTACTGCTTAAAAGTTTTACTGACTCCGTACTTTTTATTGATAAGTGGAAGGGGGGGGTTAGCTTTTAAGCATTACCTGCACCCTTTAGCTAAAACATGCACACATCCACTCGACCCGCTCATTGTATTAATTGTATTGCACGGCATCACCGTAACAATCCCAAAATCAATAAAACGAAATTCATTTGCAGAAAAAAATCACTTTCCTGGAGAGTGCAGTGATCGACTATTAATAGCTGGAAAGGTCGGCGCTGGGCTCGCCTCCGCAAATATTATACCGCACGTACCTGCTTCGCGGGTTCGCAAGGGCACGCGACCTCGGATCCACTCGCCTCAGTTGGTCTTCTCCGTTTTGATTTGCACTATTTTACCAGCTTCTTCTCCAGCCCGGCACGATAGTCACTTTCAATATACATAGACATTTTGTTTACTAAAAGTTTGTATGTGCCATGTGCGTTTCGTAAACAACAAGGCACGTACAGATGCATTACAGTGCAGAAGATCCTGTATTACAGACCTTGTAGATACTACTGTATCCGCTGGATACCGGTAGTATTAATGACAGTGGAGATGACTGTTACCAATGTCAAGATAATCAGATGTAGGGGTTGTGGCTCTTTTGAGGTTCACATAGCAGCCGTTTAAACATTGCCTTTTGAAATCTTGCGAGTTTTCTCCGAAGACTGGACGCCACCCAAAACTGCCGTAAGGACCAATGTTTAAGGCCTTCGATAGATGATATACCGAAGCTCTTTTAACACTGGACGCCACCGAAAAGTTTTAAGGCCTTCGATAGACGATATACCTGGCATACCCCGCCGCCCGTCTGGTGAGACGTGAATTCGGTCTCAATAAAGCTGCGTACTGTGCACCCTTACTTCCGGCAACTACACAAATTGTAAAATATCTTGGATTTTGTAAGGAAGGGTACCTTGTGCCCATCACCTTCCTTCAACAATTTGACATACATCAGAAATCTACGACATTTAAAACCTGTGCAGCTTTTATTTTTAGGGACAAATTTAGAGATTGCAAACGTTGTACCATCCTTTCCATATATGCGCAACCCTATAGCTAACTACTTCTCAGTATCGATAAGTGTCAGTTTCAAGTGGTCATTGAAAAAAAAACACTTGACCGCCTCATCGAGAAGAAATCATTTCAGATGTACTCGCTTTTCATATCACCAATACGGAACAATGAGCAATAACCGGGACAACAATAGCTGACTCAGGAATCCTGACAGGATGGCACATAAGCAGATAGAACAAGGATTGGCGATCTGCGGATCTCGTCTGGTCGAGGTCATGCATTCTGCTGAGGCCTCTTGACTGCAGCTCATTTCGAAAACTTCACCCTCCTACACTTCCAACTTCCACACACGCTTCCCCATGAAGGTCCTTATCGTTATTGCTGCCCTCACGATTCTGCTGACACCTGTGTAAGTACTACTCGATACCTGGCTGTACATGCTGTCTTCACTGACCTCGTGTCTCCAGTGACGGGGCTCTCAGACAGTGCGCCGGAACGGGGCCGGGCAACAGATACGAGAGCTCTGGCTACTTGACCGCCGACTTCACGCAAAATGCCTGCGCCGCGTCGGGCGGTTCCATTGATCATTTCAAGAAGGGCAACCAGAAGTGCTGCAACGTTCCTGATACCCGCCAAGGCAAGTTTGACCTCTCTTGCCAGCGTCGAACGGCTGGGGACAACTTCCCAGAATTCCACCCTACTGCCCAGCCATGCTAGATTGAAGGCATGCGTGAAATTGAGGTGGCCGTCCAAACCAGTAATGACGCCAAAGGAAATAGGTTTTGCATTCCTATTATAATACGTAGAATGGAATTATCGTTTCGTCAATATCCGTTTTAAATAACGTGCGCTTATTATCTGAAATTTTAATAGTGTTCATGTACTATACTGTACAGTGCTGGCACTAATTAGAAGAACAGCAGTTATTTCGGCATTTTGGTCACTAATCGTGCCCCCAATCTCTGAGTAAGCGCACCTAATAAGGAGACGAGCGACGAAGCTGCAGAAAAACGCCTTTGGGGGCAGCCAAGGTGCGTTTTCGAGCCAAATTCTATCTGAAGCGTTCGGGGCGCTCACTTTTCATCAAGTCCGGCGAATTATATTTAACTGCCTCTGTTAGTGTACCTGGCTTCGGGCAACACTTCTACATGGAAACAGTGTGGAGCAAAAGGCTATGCCCGAACAAAAGTCGCTTTCGTTTTTTTTTTGCCGATGTGTCAATTATGGTCCGATTTTAGCAAAAATACCGGGAATCGACACAGCACGGCGAGCTGTGTTAATTGGCCAATTTTGATCACATTTTAAACTGTAATGGCCAAAATCTGACCTTCTTAAAAATAAATGTACCTCAAAGACATAATAGAAACTGTTCTAAAATTTTGTGAGCACGAACAGTCCTTCTCCGGTGGTCTATCTCAGCCTTTAAATTCAGTTCACACTGTCGTCGTCAGCTCCATATCCGAGTGGAAATTGCGCCCTCCCTCGTACTTGTAGACCTGATAAAATAGAAATTAGAAAAAGTGAATATTTGCGACGCACTCGACAACATCCCAAGCATACTTACCGCTAACAGCTCCTCGACAGAGTCGTTATTTAAAGTCACTGCATCATAAAGACGCAAACGAATAGTGTGTCTCCCGCGCTTGGGAACGTGGTAAGAGGGACCATAGATCAATACGGCGTCATTGTTGTTATTGACTTCCTATACATAGTCTGCACAATTATATCATAATTTAGTGTTAGCTATAGCAAAAATACAGTGGTACCTTGAGAGTAGTAGCAACCACTCTTGCACCCCTCTGATCAATCGCGTGACACCGTGCTTCACGTCGCTTTTTCAAAGGAAAACGTAGTCCTTTGATACCGGAATATTCGATCTGTTTCAACATATGTCGGACCGACTATTTTTTTGCGCGAAATGTTTCTTCACGGAGCTTGTTTGTGGAGCAACCTTGAGGGTTCGTCTATTTTCCTGGTGAATCTGCTATTAGCGGCAAACACTAAAGCGTTGGGCGGGTAGTGCCTTCTGTAGAATTGATTACTATATAATTAGAATTTACTTGTTGATATGTACTTTGCTTTATTGCATCAATCAAGCAAATACATAAAAGATTTATCAAAATTGTAGTTTATGATTGATACGTTCATGTCTCTATATTGTGCTAATCCATTTCAAAAGGGTAATATGATTTAATAGAAATGGCAAGTCTAGTTTTCACAACTGCAAATTTTCAGCGACCCCACGCAGCAGCGCCCTCGCCCAATTTCGTGTCATCCTTCGTCGCTGCGGTGGTGGCCGAGCTATTGCGGTTGTTATTCTTTACTCAGGACAGACAGCCCGAAAAAAACGTGTAACCTTTTTTTTGGCGGGACACTCCCCAACAAATTAACATCAGTCTCAATTTCTTCTGAAGACTACGACTAGCTCTCTAACGACGACCACCACCCTTCCCTCCTCGTAACAATACATGTTTTACACGATTAAAACTCTCAATGCCACGGTCAAGTGCTCTCCAATCGGTAACCAAACCCGTAGTGTAAGTATTGCAAGCGCCACCCCGTGCCGCACCTTTCGAAAATCGGGCTCGAACGGCAAAATGGGTATTTTTCGTGAGCCTGCGTGACGCGGTCCAGCACCTTTACCCTCAATCCCAGCGGAGCAGTGTCTGGTTGAATATACGGTAGGGCGTCAGATCACTCACCAGCTACCCGCAAAAACATCCTTTGTAAGGCCGGATTTATCTTTGTTTTGGCGGACCAAACCGTAGGCAGGGGTACCGTCGCTTTATGAACCCGCATCCTCTTCGTGTAGCTAGAACGTAATAGGTGGTGATCAATGCTCGAGCCTGTGTGACTAAGGATGAAACAGCAATGCTGCTCAGCTCGATTATCTAAGCAGTGATCGAGAGCAGCCTCGACGCTTCCCGGATCGTCATTATGGACGAACAGCGTTTCGTACGAACAAGGGATCTAAAATCGTCGTAGCCGTCACATGCTATAAAAATGAAGACATTGCTCTAAACTTCTACCTTACTTTGGTTGCCTGTGGAAGCGCCACCGGATGCAAGGTACCTGCGGTATTCAAGCTTCCTGACTACACGGTCAAGCTGGAAGTGCTCAACAGCCCCCACCCCTCTCGATGTAGCTGCTGTCCCTACAACTACGTCGGGGTTCATTAATGACCAGCTCTTCGTGTAGTGGATTTGGCTCTTTGAAGGTAGTGTCTTGGACGACGGGCAACAATCTCTGCAGTTGGTACTGGACGGGTGCAGCTCACACTAATCTGCCGACAAAGTGGTAGAGGCTGAAGGCATTGGTGTCCTCCTAGTATGTGCTCCCATCTAGCACCACTGTAGTGTCGTGCGACCCTAAATGCTTGCTAGTTGAGAACCCACTCGTGTACTTGGAGATAAAAAGAATTCTGTTATTAAATGCGGGGCTACGGCGGCTGCCGTATTGGTTTCTGTTTGTTTCACTATGCTCAATGCCTCCTTGACTATGCTGTATACAATTCTTGAGAGCTCGCCATGCTCTCATGCTTCTCGCCTGTCGTCGGTAACCCCTCTGTGATCTGTAACCTCTATGCGAAGTGTCTGGGAAACCACTACACCGCCCTTCAAACAGACATTTGCATACGGCCAGCCAAACGGGAGATGTCCTACGCCTTCGTATTGGCCTTAGCTGTACGCCGACGACGGCCGGTGCTTGTTAGCGTTGTTGTGCAGCTCCTTGTTTCTGCTGTTTGGCTCCTTTGTTTCTGAGTGGACGGTCTGATCGTGAGTTGCAAACGAAGCGACTCAATGCAGCACCCCCGGCAGTATCCGCATATTGTTTCAACTTGAGAGGAACATCCTCGAACATGTTGTTAACAGGCTCCCAAGAGGCCTCAATAGCCTCAAGGCCTTCCCAGCGAACCAGCATCTCGAAAGTATGCGTCGGATGCTTGCGGTGCTCCGTGAATGCCTCCACAGTGAGGTATACATCCTGGTTTGCAATGCGCTCCAAAAGACCTTCATTGACATCAAGACTTTCATCTGCATACAGTTTGAGACGTGAAGCATGGATGACTTTCGGGTTCGCAATGATCAAGTGTTCGATTTCGAGCGAGTTGGCATTGGCGCTAATCACACGGTATGGTCCCACCCACGTCACCGATAATTTGTTGCCTTGCTTTTTTGCGTCGACTCGGGACCACAAAACATAATCTCCAACATGGAAATTCAACGCTCTTGCACTTCGTTGATTGTTTTTGTTGCGCTCGGTTTTCTTTTTCTTTGCTGTTGTAACATCGTGGTGCATGTCCAGGAGCGACGATCTCAGCTCTTGGGCCGCTTGGCTCACGTTGGGCACTAAGTTCTCCACATTCAATACATTTGCCGCAACTGCATCAGTACCAAGTAGGCCTTTCTGCAACGGGGTTGTCGCTTTAACCCCTAGGAATCCTTCCGCCGGTGCATGGTCGGGAAGTGACGTTACCGGGCTTTGATTCAGGTTTGCTTGAATCAATGGTAGAAGCGCAGCCCAGTTCTCTTGTTCAACATTGAGCTCCAAACGCATGACACGCAAAACCTGCAAGATATCTCGGTTCAGTCGCTCGACACTTCCATTAACTAACGGGCAATAGGCGAGCGTAAAGCTCTGCTTCATCTGAGTCTTGTGACAAAGTTCCTCTAGAAGCTGGATTTTGAAGTGCGTGGCCGTGTCGCTTATTATCAGCTCCGGCGTTCCGTATCTGCTGCTCCAGGTGAGAATCTATGTGGCAGCTGCTGCTGCATCTGCGCTAGTACACTTGATCAGCTCACAGAAGTGCGAGAAATCTTCCTTCATTACCAATATGTAGTCGTTTTTGCCTTGTACTCTCCAATGTACAGGTAATCCATGTGCAGTGCTTCGTTACTTTCTTTAGAGCGATACGTCTCGCCCCAAGGTCTTGGTACAATTTAACCACCCTTCATATGGCAGCACAGTAGACAACGACGGCAAAACTCACGAGCCTTTTGCTCTAGTTTGTCGATGTGGAAGTGATCTTTGAGATGATTCACCATTACCTTTACCCCCCCCCCGATGGCCCATTGTGCCACAGTGGGCGATCACCATTAATCGCACTAAGAGCACTTCAGCATCCGCCGGAATCCACACGTGGTTGTTCGTGTCTTTCCAGACTCCGTCATGTTTACTGAGATCCGTTGGACGGGTGCACTCAGTTGCATGCTGAGCGTTTTGGATGTCCACAATGGTAGACCACTCGGAATTCGATCATAGAGGACGTAGTTCAACTGGTTGTTGCTCTACTTCTAACTGCCAGCTCTTGATAGTAGTAGATTCAGGTGATGATGTCGAACGAGCCCACCGTGAAGCCATGTCGGTACCGCTGATATGTTCGATGCTGTACCGTAACTCATTTAGTTTCAGGCTCCAGCGTTGTTGTTTCCCCTAACACGCTTCTTTATCTCATCACCGGACGCGAAAACAAAAAATAAAATTTCGATGGTCCGAGTACAAGCAAAAACCCTGGGAGCGTATCAGCAGATAGTCTAAGTCCGTAGCAGCCTTAATAATTGGAAATGCCTCTTTTTCTGAGACGCTCCAGTGCTGTGAAGACCCTTTGAAAGTACCGCTCATGCAGTGCACTAGCTGATGATGCTGTTCCGCGATGTTAATCGACGAATCCCAATCCGCAACAATTGTTAAGATAATGCTCCATCCAAAAGCACTTGCATCGGTCATCAAAATGAGCTCGTCGTCATCAGGTGTTACCAGTGTCGCTGAGTTCGTGAGCAAATATTTGACTAGCTTAAAACTATCCCGCTCAGGTTCAGAGAGGTCAATGACTAGTCGTGCAGCAACGTGTTTTGTCCTCTTTGTACCGGCTAAGGCAGCTTGTAACCTTTCCTACAGAGGTGCAGATACCCGAGCAAAATCAACGAGATAATTAAGCATTCACCCAGCCGCGCACAAGAACTGTTATAGTTCGCCTGCCGTGTGTGGCTCTGGAAGATTGCCCAAAGGTTGGATTTTATCTGGATCATAGGCAGCTCCGTCTACCTTAATAGTTCGCCCACACCACTTTATTTCGGTTGTGTACAAGAAGATTTTATTCATCCCGAGAAATAGTCCAGATTCCTTCAAAGTGCTTTATACAAGGTCCAGTACCGACAAAATTTCATCTATAGTGGACGCGTAGACGAGAAGATCATCAATCCATGCCAACCCATTCTCGTATAGTAGTCCGGCTTTGCGCATTATCTTCTCAATTGATTGCTGAAAGTGGATCGAAGAATTGACGCCACCTTGCTAAGGGCGGGTAGGCGTGAAGACGCCATCCATCGTCATATAAGACTGTGACGCTTAGCTGGACGACGCTAACGCCTTTTGCCAAAAGCTCTTCGAGAAATCCACAGTTTGCTTGTACTTCTTCTGCTTTGTATGGTAAAGACGTGTGGCTAAATTGGGCATTCCACCCGCCAAAGGCACAACTTGTGCATTGACATGCTGGAAATCAACACCTTGGCTTAGTCCACCTAGTTTTCCCGGTTTCTTCACAGGTCGTGCAGGACTGGCCCATCTACTAGCCTCGTTACGGTACACCCACCCAACAGAAACACGAGATTCATTAAATGACCTCATCTATTCTCGCGCTGCTGGTGTATACGTTCGAGGTTTGCATCGTATAGGCACAGTTCTGTCCTTGAACTGAATGTCGAACAACTCCATCTTCGAAGGCGGGTCATTGCCGATTTCCAGGCGCCAAATATCATACCGTGTTGCCCATCAAAGAGATCACGTTTGCGGTCAACAGGAAATCCATTCGTGACAGCTTCATTAATTAGCTCACAGAGCTGTCCCATAATTCTCCCTTTGTCAGGCGGATTGAAGCTCACCGGAGTTTCTGACTCGAAAGGTTCAAAATCATCGATCTCTTTATTGGCTAATACCGCTAATAGTCCTTCAACATAAATTCCAAGCGCCTCAAGCGTCAACCTTCCTAGCAGGAACTCGTCCTCTTCTGTTTCCGTAATGATACAGGTCATATGGCGCATTCGGGCCCTCCCTGCTGGAATAATTAACTCCAAATCCAGCTGAATTGATTTTTTGCTGGTTTTAATAGCTCCACCTACAGCCTTGCCATCAATCGGCTTCGTAAGACATTCCACCTTTACATCCGGGCATAATTGGAGAGCTTCCTTAGCTACTCGGCGAGGAATTACATTGTATTTGCTTCCATTGTCCTGGAAAAAAGAAAAAAGTCACCACCCCATTGTATGCAACATGCCTCGGAGCGAGATATTCGTCATCTTCCAGCACACGCTTCATTTTAAACGCCTCAGATCCCTTGCGCTGGTTCATGAACGCTTGACGAGCTGTCTTCTTCTGTTCCTCACTGGCAGAAGGCCAATCGCTCACCCAATGGACACCCTTGCAGTGTAAACAGCCTTGGGCAGAGGCAGGATTGCGTTTCTTGGATCCAGGCCGATCATCACTCGACGATTGTGCTGCCTCACCCTTTTGGGATTTGCCATTGCTTTGTTCGCCATTATTCTTGCGTAAAGAACCTTTTCCAACTCGAGGTGTGGTTTTATTTCGGATGGACTGATAGAGATCAAAAGATTGTTGATTCTTCAATGTCTCCGCTTTAACCCTTCTAGTCCTGTATGCTGTATACTACAACATAAGTGTTATAAGAGGTTTTAATATGCAGCAAACAACGAAACATCAAACTTTTTCGCATACTAGAATTTGTATTGGTCGGTTGCAAATCCTAACGGTGACTGGTTTCTCGCACGTCGCTACTGATCTGGGGTTAGAGGAGCCCGTCTACGGATGCTATCGGGTGGATAGAGGTTTGTGTCGATCGCGCTATCCCGCTCCCTATCCACTACACTTGAAATCTCGGTCTCCCTCCGCCCCGCGCCGCCCAACTCGAACAGCATGAAAAAACGTTCAAGCAGCTCTGGCGAGAGCTTTGCAAGCAAGGATGGACACCGAAACCCCCCCCACCGGCCTAAGTAGTGACCACCGCTACGTCCGCCCGGGAAGAAGCGTGAAAGAAAAGAATGGCGTCGACTACTTCACCGGTACAGCTCGCACCACTACTTTGCATCGATTACAGCAACTTTACTAACCGATTTGTCCCCTCAGGCGAGAAAGCGCTACTGGAGTTTGCTCGACAGCGTGGCTGGTTAGCGTATAGTGTTATCGCTGGAACTATTATTCCGTCCCCTTCGTCGACAGCATTGACGGCACCGCCTGCAGACAGCGGAGCGTGCGATGATAGGTCCACTTCTGCCGCAGCTGATCGCGTCGAAAGGGAGACAGCACCAACGACTACACCGCCTGCTAAAGAGAACGTGCCAGCTACGACGACCTCTACTGCGACGATGTAGCCTACAGCAGAGCGCGGATGGTATCTAATGCTGTGTGTTTATGGTGAATCATACAGAATAGAGATCTATCGCGAGAAAGAAGACACCGAGTCAGCTATTTCGAAAGTGGTGATCCGCAACTTGACCAAAGCGTTGCAAGGGCAGCCTGGAAAGCGCTAGTCGTCACCGACAACTACTACACCTGCGTGCAGCTAGCCGAACGCCTTCTGAGAATGGGAATCTACCCAGTAGGTACAACACGCGTCAATCGGAAAGGCTGGAGCGAGCGGATCCAATTCCCCAGTAGGAAAAAGCAAAAGCAGTTGCAACCTCAGCAACCTGCAAACAAAATTGAGCGCGGAGCGTACCGTGTCGCGTATAATCCACGGATCCCAGGGTTGGTCGCCGCTAGCTGGAAGAATTCAAAGATCGTCAACTTCATGGCAACGGGATGCAGCACGAGACGGGTTGTTGTTCAGCGAAAGCGTAAGGGGGATGGCGTCTCTCTTGAAGTTGCGTGCCCCGAGCTGGTTCGTATCTACAACAAAGGCATGGGAGGAGTAGACCAACACGATCAGCTGCGACTTCACCGTTAATCTATCCAGAAAGCACTGCGCCATCGATCCTACTACAAGAACCTGCTTTTCGGTATCGCTGACATGGCATTAGTCAATGGGTTCATTATCCACAAGTTAGTGATGAAAGAGCAAGGCAAACCTGTTCCCACCCATGCTGACTATTTGGCGCGGCTACACGTGGAGCTGCTTGCGCAGCAAAAGGTGGACTTTCAAGGCAACATGCACGCCCACTGGCAGGACAGCCGCACGTGCTGACAGAAACTGCGGAAACCTACAAGAACAAAGTCCGTCAGTATTTATGCAAAGTATGTTCGGCCTATTCCGACAAGGAACATCGCAGCTTCGAAACGCCGTACTCTTGTGAAGAATGCTCGCTTACCTTTGGGGGTCGCGTGGCTCTTTGCAACAAGGTTAGCAGAGAGGAGCGAGGCAACACCGACACGTGCCATCAGACATGGCATATCACCTGGAAGAATGGCACCATCATCCCGCCGGACATGAAAAAGAAAATTAGATTCAGGAAAAGAAAGCTGCAGGAAGTAGATGACGAGTAGCTCACCTCTGATCTAATGTGGAGGAAAGTTTGCCCATTTATTGTTTACACAAGTCTTTGCTTGACAAAGGGCAAAAGTTTTCTTCGCGTAAAGCGCGGGGTAGCTGCAGCGCTCTCCACGCCACTAGTTTTGGCGCGAATCGCCACGACGACTTCCGTACATCGAGTGTGAAAGGGTAACGAGTGCTACCGACATTTTTCACGATTTTGCACAAAATGTATCCATCAATCTAGCCAATTAGGACTCTTGCATTTACTGGCAGCATCGTAAATTGTACTAGAATCCGGCTCGATTGCTAGAAGGGGGCTACAAACAGATAAACTTCACACAGGTACGCCGTCGGACTATAGGAAAGCTTATTCCTTTTGCTGTATAATACATCATACACAGAGGGGCTAGAAGGGTTAAGCACATCAAACAGGCAAGAGACATTGGTTTTCACAGTGGGGTCAATATCTTGATAGAGCAGAACCTGTTCCTTCAAACGCTCAGGACTCAAGTTACTCAGTCAACAACTTACACTTCAACTTGACGTTACCACCCAAAGCAGCGTTCAATCCGTTCTCCTCATCCAATTCATCAAAGCTGTCGAAATAGTTCAATACGCGCGCCTTGACATCCTTCTGCATCAAATCCATCTTTAATTGCTGGCTCATTAACCCATGGACATTTGGAAACTGATCGCTCATCATACTGGAAAGGATTTTCGAGATAGCATCGACTAACTTCTCGTTCGTCATCTCGTCAACTTGTATCTTCAACTCCAGTTCATAGAACATCTTTAGCAAACGCCGATTAATCGTGTTGGTAGCTGGTATCGTTTCTGTCGCTAACGGCTCACAATTCCCTTGGCATCGCGAGATGACAGCAGCCTCATACAGTTCTCTCTGCTTCCTCCACTTGACCAGAGCTTCATGCGAGAAGCATACGATCGGAGGTGGCTCCATCGCTGTCCATAGCTTTGTTGCAGGTGCAGTCGCGTCGCCATCTTCGCCGGTGGTGTTTGCGCGACTTCGTTTTTGCTGGGGCCGACTCATTGGCCAGCTGTGCTTGAGACGTAGTCCACAGCTAAAGTTAACTTTGTAGTGTCTTGTGACTCTAAATGCTTGCTAGTTGAGAACCCACTCGTGTAGTTGGAGGTAAAAAGAATTCTGTTATTAAATGCAGTGGTACGGCGGCTGCCGTATTGGTTTTTGTTAGTTTCGCTATGCTCAATGCCTCCTTGACTATGCAGTATACAATTCTTGAGAGCTCGACGTGCTCTCATGCTTCTCGCCTGTCGTCGGTAACCCCTCTGTGATCTGTAACCTCTATGCGAAGTGTCTGCTGAGAGCTGGTTCCATCGGGGAAGCCACTACAATCACTTACTTACTGCTACCTCTTGAAGCAGTCGTAATTTCAACGTTCAAGACAAAGCCCCGCCAATTAAACGATTTTTTTGCGTGGGTGAACCTAGCAGCATTTCTGTCGACAAGGAGGGGCCCATGAAGATGGCAAATACAGTGTAGCTCGCATTATAAAATAAGTAAAGCATATTTAGGCCGGATAAGCAGGATGCGACCTATTTACTGCCTTCGAAGCCTCGAATGAAGGCGTACGTCGCAAACTTCACCCGTAATCGTACCCCAGCCATGTTTCAGCTCGCCTATTTAATAGTAGCTCCGCTTCAGGGGGCAACGCTGGAGGACGATCTCGTGCTACCGGTGGCTTAGAAGCGCATTCGCAAGACAGTTACAGCTGGATGTCGGCTACGTATCCAGACGAAGTGACACGATACCCAAGAAGACGAAGAAAGAGTCCAAGTCCCAGCAACAAACAGCATATCTAGATACTTCCAAGGCGTAAAGTACACCAAACGCCTAGAAGGTGCTCAATACCCAGAATTCGGCTGAGCCCAATAAGCCAAAGTCTTTAACAACGATCAAACCGGTTAGGCTGGCGTCTGTCGAGTCAACGCCGCACGCCGATGTTGTATTATAGCGGCAGAAAATGATGGGGCTAGCTAATCCAAAATAAAAATTTTATCTTTGGATAATCGGCGATAACTTCACCAAAATAGCCTTAAATTAAGTGCAAAGGGCGCGGATAGAAAGCTGAGGTTTCGTAGTTCCTTCTTCCATAAATTAAGACTCTTCATCTCTTTCATTTCAGGAAGTGCAATGCAACGCAGACACCAGCTCAGTCCGGACGAGAAAACCCTAGTTTGCAATGTATATGATTATTTCGTCGCCGAGGCCAAAGCAGGCAGAAGTGGAGGGCGGGACTCGCGCGATCGAACTAAAGAGGCGACGCGCCTTGGGAAAAGCACAGTTTTTCGGGTGCTCTGGGCATGGAACCTCGACCCAGACACCAATTTCGCCGAGGTGCGCTTGTCATTTTGGCCTATGTAGGGTTAAAACCGCTCTGTCGTGATATCATATGAAAATCTTATAATTTAATGCTTTCGCTAGTAGAAGGTACCATTCAGCACGAGGTCGCAAGAAGCTCATGAGGAAGATGGTGAGTAATTACTCTTTAAATTTATACAAATCCTTCTTTTTAAATTTGAACGTTTTATTTTTAACGCCTGTTTGTACAACTGTTTTGCCCTTTCCACACTCTTGACCAATAGAATATCAGCATTATAGCAACTGTTTCCCCGTTTAAAGGTCCTCGGAGACACCTTTTTGGGGAGCCTGTAGCGACAAAACTACTGCGAATTAGCCGGTTTTAACACCAAAATCATACTCAAAATGGGCGGTTTTATCACATATCTAAATGTCATATTGATTTTATCAAAATTGAGCACCCCATGGGGATTTGATTACTAGCCCCTTCATTTTCTGCCGCTACAATAATAGAAGCAATTGTCAAGATAAAACATTTAGTACACTTTTGCTGTGCAGTTTATCCCCTCGTTTTTATTTGCTATATTGATACGATATCGCTCTGTATGCCTGGTCAGCTGTGACTTGTAAAAATCAAAAATTGACAATCTTAAACCGTTATCAGATGGGGAGCCCGACTTATGGAACTGAGCATACCGACTTCTCCATGTTGTGCCGGACACCCTATCTACACCGATTGGATCCATAAAAAAAATTTGAACTTCAGAACAAAAAATGAGTCTATTGATTTGCTGTGCTTGTTTCAGATTCCAACCCTGGTCTATCAAAATCCGCGTCAGAATCGATGTCACCGTAGCTTTCGTCTACAATATCGCATAGTTGTGGAGCTCGGCGATCACGTCATTAGCAAAGTTGTCGTCCTCACAGCAGTAGCATTGACGAGATCTACATACGATATCACATTCTAATCGATTGAGATTGCTGATGGCGTGAGCATTTCCCAGCCTTGTGCAATCCATTTCGCCACATCTGCTGGTTGCGCCACAGAAGTAGCGCCTTCGGGTACTTTAAGCAGCACGCCTTCATTAGCTTAGCTTTGTTTTTTTCCAGTCTAAAACTAATTTTCGTCTGCTATCGTAGTGCTGTGAGTCTAGCTCCGGCCAGAAATGCCTAATCGTTGCTTTGACATCGTTGTGCTTTTCGAGGTGGGTCGCTGCATCGAGTTTTAGTTGGTTAGTGTATGATCCCACCTTTCGTTTAAGCGGTTTACGTCCGCCATTCTCGTTAAGGCGTGGGCGACCTACAGGCTTCGCCCGCTGGGTGAGTTCGTCTGCCTCAGTTTCTTCAGCATGAGCGCCTTCCATTGAATCTCAGACTGCGAAGAGACGGTGGAAGAGGCACGTCTCTGCACTGTCCGGCTTAACATGGAGACAAGAAAGGCCAATAATAAAACAATTTTATTGGTAGAAATCGATTGTCCGTCTTAAAAATCGTCCGGCACAACATGGAGAAGTCGGCTACTGGCGTCAATCAGCTTACTAGATGGCAGCCGTCAGTCGTTTTTGCAGCTTGTGATGGCCACCAAGTCACCTAAGGCACTATTGATGAGCTGAGTTAGTGTTACCATGGTCTTCTCAGACTTTACTATGGTAGCGCTTCCTGTAAGACAAATCGAGCTATAATTTATTCACAAATTTCAAAATGTTCTGTACCGTTTGCTTTTGTGTATGCCCTGTCGTTCATGACTTTTTGCAATGTCGTATCGGATCGTACGCGTGTTTCGAAGGTAATGTTTTTTTTTCCTTTTAGCAAAAACAAGAGCAAAAGCGGGAGAACACTGAGCACATGCGGAAAATGGATTGTATCAGTAAGTAGCTTATTAAGCGCTTAGTTACTTTTCAGCATGAAACACCTGTAATAATAGGAAAATTCGCGCTCTTTTCGAATTTGTATTTGTTGCTCACAACTTATTGTAAAAAAAAACGTTACGTAAAAGTATATGCACGGGCTGACATATTATCACGAAACTGGCCCACTACATGTACCTTATTGCTATATCCAAAGGTAACGTAGACTAACGTTAGTAGCTTACTGTTAGTACAAGGCCGGCGTGCGCTAGTTCCTGTCCGTACTCAAAACTTGATGGCTCTTTGAATGAAGCTCAACTACACCAAAGTGACCGTGCTAATAACAGAACGCGCTCGTAAAGCAGCATTGCTAATATTTATCCTGTATCAGCCATGGAGTTAGTCAGAGGCATCGAATCGGTAGAAAAGTTGTATTGCCTCGCATTTTACACGGAGCGTGTCTGGCCTCAAAGGTGAACAAAGGCTGACTTTGAATAAATTGGATCGTAACTCCCAAGGCATTCTTAATTTACGCATGGGTATCTCGGTCGGTGTCTGGGTCTAGGAATAAATGTGGGTAACTCTAATGGCTAAACCTTAAAATTCGTCAAGTATAACCCAGTCACGGTAGTACTTTTAAAGATAGCTACGTTGTAAGAAAATCGAAGTCATTTACTACTTGTAAAAGTCATCAAACCCTGCTAGGACACTTCTCGCCCACAATACCGCTTGTCCTCCTACGTTACCTTCTGCAAGTCCTGCACGAAGCTTTTTAGGTTCGAATTCTTCTCGATCGATTTAAGAAAAGGACCCAATGCCACCCCTGGCATGGCCTTGGATAAGCTTTCAATAACCCTCTTGTCAGTAAACACGGTGTCGTCCATCTTTTTTCTGTACTGTAGGACATCTTTCAGCCAAAGAAGCACGGTCTTCTCAGATAGCCACTTGCGTGTGCGGACTAGCTCCTTGAGTACCTGGTGTGGGCTCTTTTCCATATGCAAAGAGACCCGCATGCCGGTCTTAATCGCCATCGTGGAGAATATGTCCCTTAAGAATCCCCTCTCTTCGTTGTGCGCCAATTCATCACCGAAATCAACATTGCTGGTGGCGCCATCTTTCAGGAAACGCACCACAGTGTTAGCCTTGTCATCCTCGTAGATCGAATCGCCTTTAGATAGCGATTCCGTCGCGCCGTTTGGTAACTCGAAAAGCGCCGAGGCAGACCTGAACAAGAGGATGGCTGTGACCAACAGTACTGGGTAACATGATCGTGGGATTTGTATGGGAGATGGCATGAAGCTTGAGCTTGATCTCTCGGGGGTGGAGTCTCCTGGTCACAGGCCTAGCTTGTTGATGCTTAATAGAAAATAGGAAACTGTCTTGTGAAGGTAAGAAGCGATTGAAGTAGCGCAATCGCCTCGGTTGCGATTAGTTCCGATATCGGATCGGATCTTTTGATCTGCAGGGGACTAATCCGATCAACGGCATTATTCGATCGGGCTATCCGGCACAACGTATACCTTTATTTGTACCTTGCAAAAATGGGGTTTGCCAACGCTCTTGGCAACACTGTCTCGGGATTAATATCTAATCCCAGACACAGCGCCTAGCCGAGTCGGGGACTTAGAGGCCGAGGTGGAAGCGAAGTATAGAGCATCACTTAGAGCATCTCCAGCGGTAAGTTCTATACGAAGATGTACCCGATTTATACGCAACCAGAGGCTTTGTTATTAAAAAAAATGGCTGGCGATGAACACTGGCACGAAAATACCGCAACGTCGAATTAATGTTACTGTTTTTAGTACCTTAATACATTTTAGTATAAATTCTCTTAATACCTTTCACAACAAACACGTCGATTTTAGCTCTCCAAGATCATCATTCGCAGGTCTCGTCGCACAGCAAGATCTAAAGCGAGAACTCCATGTCAACATGGACACCAAGTATGACGATCAACGTGGAGGCTAAAGTGCTCTCAATATATAGAGCCATTTTTACAACGACAAAAGTACATTACAGAAGTGGCTGTTCGATGCACATCGCCATATACTTCGATCTGCGAGGCCTAGAACTCGGTTGTTTGTAATTAGAAGAATCAATTATTGTGAATGACCACCAGGTCTTTTGGTCATAATTTCCAATCACCACGCTTCTTGTCTCGTCCCTTTTCAATGTAGATAGCAATAATGAAGATAAAGTATCGTGGGTAAACCTAGTTCATATCATTTAAGTAGTTTAAAGCGGGGGGGGGGGGTCTCATTTTCTGTTGGATGATTGGCATACGAGTGAATAACATTCGGGTTAAGTGGCGTATGACACCAATAAACGGATGTCCTTTTCTTCATTCGAGAACATCTTCGTTTCGTTTTGATTTGAATCGATGCTCTTCGGTGTAAAGGCTTCAACCTGGTTCGTTGGTATTTTGGGCTGGTGAAATTTTTGGTTTGGTTTGGGCGTGATGAAAGTGAAGCAACGTCGCATTTCTTTAAGAATAGCGCTTCGGACGCCACCTGTTGCTCTGTTTAAGCTGTGCTCATCACCCGCGTTTCCACTTCTGCTTTCTCTCAAGCCCCGCGCAGTCTACATCGAGTCAACTATGGTCAAGATCAGCCTCATCCTCGTCGTGGTAGCTTGCGCTACCACAGGAAACTCTATACTGACTGAAGCTGTGGATGCTGGTAGCTCTTCGAACGATACTATCGCTAGTATCGACGTCATGGTTGGGGACGAGAGCGGGTCAAACGACGCCAGGGGTAGTGCTGCTCTAACTGGTCCTCCAGTCTACGATGACAGTGCCAGTAGTATTGGGAGTACTGATGCTGACACCATCAAGAGCCCATCGGCGACCTCTGCAACCCCTGTTGCAGACAAAGGAAGCGATCCTCCCGACTCGAGTTCTAGTAAAGCTGACGATGTAAGCGACAATTCCAGCGCCAGTGCTGATACCGATACTACAGGCCCATCAGTCACCACAGCCACTCCTTCCATCGACGATGGAAGCTCTCAAAAAGCCTCAAGCGTTCTCTCTTCGGTGGATCACAGTGGCAGTGTAGATGGCAACAGCGGCAGTGTAAACACTGACGCAACCAGCCCTACCTCCACTTCAGCAGCTCCTGCTGTCGTTGACGATGGTAGTGCGCAAACCGACTCAAATGCTAGTAGTTCTATAGATGTTGGCGATGACAGTACACTGGATGATACTAGTGATGTCAACGATACACCGACGTCAGCGCCGACCGTATCAAGTCCAGAAACGCCGGCCCCGACAGTCAAAGGAGGCCCCGCTCCGATTTCTGGTCAAGTTAAACTTGTCCCTGGCTACGAAGATTGCGGTGGCTTCGGCTTCGATTACAAAGCCTACATGCCGAAGAATGTGGACACGAGTGCGTATACCATGCTCACATGCGAGAAGGGCTATCGATGCCAAGAAGTCCAGGGCAGCAACACATACCGATGCAAGGAGTGGCCAAGCCGCGATCCAGTTCCCTTTTATGGCCAATGTGGTGGTGGCAACTACGACGGCCAGACGTTCTGTGCTCCTGGAGCGGTGTGCAAGTACATCAGTGCCAGCTTCTCGCAGTGCCTCCCAACATATTAAATAGCGCTCACGTAGTGCGGGGTTATGAATAGCAAAACCAAGCTTAACTTTTATTCATTCTGTTTCAGCTGCAATATGAACGCTATCAAAAGGTACACGCATAAATTACTTACAATTGAAAAGTGTTAATAGCTGCATTCAGGCAAGAAGCTGATTTATGTAGTTATGAATAACTTTCGTTTTATTCAAAATAGGGAATGTTCGATAAGAAAATTTTTTATCTCTAAATAGGCTACACGGGATGACCCCTTCCCTCACTACCTTGTCGCGCGAATCTATCTTAGCTGTACGCACCACCAAAATATCTTCCCGGTCGATTGCAGAATATCGCCCATCTATCAGCCTCACAATTCAATTCGCTTCGAAACAACCTTCAGTCCGTTTAATATGGTGAAAGTGCTTACCGTCCTTGCTGCCGCTGCACTCGTATCGTGTACCCTTTCCAGCTCGGTATCCGCGCACGAGCACCCTGCTGGCCGAGCCCTTTCGACCTCCGAACGCAAGCTTTTCACCGAGAATGCCCAGGCCGCATTGGCTAAATGCTCCAAGCTCGAATCAACGCGAGTGCTTCAGGAACGTGCCGTGGCGCGACGTACCGAAGTCGTCGAGAAGCTTCGTCAAGATCGGCGTCAACGGCGTCTTGATGTCACCACAGTCCTGGAAACGAGTCACAAGTCCAGTCTTCTTGGTATCACAACTACTACGTCCGCTAGTGTCCTCTTCGGCTCCACCCCTCCTTGTGTCGCAGAGCCTGAAGTTACTGAAGGACCATACTACGTCAAAGGCGAGTACATCCGTACGGACATGCGTGAACAACAGACTGGCGTCACTATGTACGTCGACGTTCAGGTGATTGATATCAACACATGTGACCCGGTAAAGGACATGTACATCGATCTATGGCACACGAACGCCACTGGGGTGTACTCCGGAGTCGTGGCAAGTACCAATGGCAACAACGCTGATAAAACCAACCTCCAGAACACGTTTCTACGTGGTGTCACTCCCACAGACAAAGATGGTGTCGCTCAAATGACCTCCATCTTCCCTGGGCACTACGCTGGTCGTACCACCCACGTTCACTTCATTGGCAACTATGGTGGGTCCGTTCTCTCAAACAAGACTTACTCTGGAGGCTCTGTTGCCCACGTGGGTCAGTTTTTCTTCGACCAAGACCTCATTTCATCGGTGGAGGCAGTGGAGCCGTACTCGACCAACAAACAGAGTACGACACTCAACTCAAGAGACAACATCTTCAAGGAAGCTAGTGGGAACGGCTACGATCCCATTTTTCAATATGCTCTGGTTGGAGATACGGTGGAAGATGGAGTGTTTGTGTGGATCTCGGTGGCAGTGGATATGACGGCTGAACGAGATGTTACAGCGGTATCAACAATGACAGGGAGCTTGGCTACTGCTACAAAAGGTGACACGAGCACAGCACCTAGACTGACCAAGTATGGTGGGTTTGCTATTGTACTGACTGCCCTCACGCCGATGATCGTCGCATTCCTTTAGAATTAGGACGATGTATCGGAGATTTATCTGATGCAGCTACAACGTCATAATATAATCAAGCAAAACAACTTCTCTAAACTATCGTTCCGTAGACAACATCAAACAGACGATGCTGAAACCAAGTACGAATCGCGGCTTAAGCGTACTTGAAAGCTACGAAATATCTAATATTTACGGATGTGTCGCCCAAAAATCATCCTAATGACGATATATTTGGGACCTTTTTTCAATTTTTGAGATACATTAAAAGCTCTTGTTTTAAAAGCAATCGACTGAGAAAATAAAGTTTACCGATGAACGTTTGTCACAGTTTTAGCTAAGTGCGAAAACCAATTATTCAACAAGCTCGATGATCTCGATAGCTTATTATCGTTCGTAAGCTGTCACCTCGATTACGGCTAAGATCAAGCTTGAGATCTGCAAACTGATGAGTTCGGGCCTGGCAGGCTCACGGCACGTGGTGAAGCGCCTCGGGGAGCTTCTGCATAGCTGATTAGTGACCGCAAGACACGCGGAGCTAGCTTTAGGTGGATGCTGGCACGCGTCCGCCGCTGCATGGATTGAACTTGTAAGAGACACTGAGGATGCAGAAGAAGTGTCAGCTTTCGTTCAGCTGCATTTTAATCTAGCGCATTAATAAACTTACCTGCTAGGTAACATGTCCCGGGTTATCGCGACAAAGCTAGGTTTGCGCCTGTCGAGCGCTGAGTGTGCTGGTCCCGGAAGTCGCTGACTGTCCGAAGGCTGTCGGTGGAGTACTAGTCTAGTAAAGGGAGAACACCTACGTGTGGTTCGCATTAGGTTCGAAGGTCACCTAAGTGCGGTTTGCATTAGGTTCTCGCTGTTAAGAGCGCTCAAGTTCAACTTTAACATGACGGGGACGACGTTCACGGTGGATTCCGATGGTAATGTGGACATGTCAATCCCTCAACCAATCTTTGAAGTCATCAAGCCTCCCGAGCTGCGGAGTTGAAAGCACTCTGCCCTGGTCGAATGGCTTCGCGGGTGGAAACGCTACTTTGAAAAGTTCGTCACCGCTGTACGACAACGGGCGAAACATTTGATAATGTTGTAGCTAGTGTCAAGGGGTATGTAAACACGGATGTTCTTAAGACAATTGCAACCTACATACTGAAGAAACCTGCGGAGGTGGTAACCGATGCGGACATCCTGGGGGCGATCGAGACCCGTTGCCGCACTCTCGAGAACAATTTTGTGCCAGACGTCACGGCTTTGTTCCGTGAGAAGCTAAATATGGACCTGTCAATAATGACTGTGATGCCCGCGACTTTCAATACTATCAGAACTTCTCTCGCATTGTGGAGAACAATGGCCTGCAAGGGCTAATAGAGAACGCTGACGTGGGTACTGAAGCATACAAGAGTAGTATGAAGGCTCGCTGCCGTCTGCTAGTGGAAACTTTGCAGCCTCCAGTGCTAAAAGCTTAGATTACCCGACTTATCGACTTCAAGAGGCGTGACTGCAAAATGGATGACGTTGCCCTCTTCAATTTGATATTGGAAGACGATTTGATCTAACGCAAGGTTTTCGGCAATTGGCCCTGCTCCGAGACAGCTAGCAGATTCTTTCGTTTGCTACGCCGGATGGTGTTTTTACACCGAAGCGAGGGGCAACGGATAGTGCTCTGGATTTTCAAGCTCATATGCAGACTGTTCTCGCATCACTAATACCTCAAGTAGCGCGCGTATGGGTGAATGATGTCATGCTGTTCGCCCCGACCGCTAGTGACTTCGTAGTGGTGCTCCCAGAGTTTTTCCAGCTCGTCAGGGAAGCCAACCTGAAGCTAAATATGGCGAAGCGCTCGCTGTTCGAGCTTGAAGTCCTGTGGAGAGGTCGACTTATCTCGAGCAAGGGCGTGCGTCAGGATCCGAACGGTGTGGATGTGCTGCGTCGGCTTCCTGTTCCCGAACCTATGGCGGATTTACAGCGATTTCTAATTGCTAATAATTGGCTTCACGAGTCGCTGCCCGACTACGCGCATGTTGTTGCCCCTCTTCTTGCACAGTTAGAAGCTGAAAAGAAGCGAATTGGCAAGCGTAGTGAACACGCTCTTATGGTGGCTACGCATTGTGACCCGACTGATTCAGTCACTGAACACGCTGCGTATGCTGCTGTCATTTCACTGACCAAGGACTCCGCAATGATGGTGCACCCTGATCCGGACGCCGAGTTGTGTGCTTTCACAGATGACTCCCTTTCCAGATACGTTATTGTGGTGACACAGGTGAAACACTGGCATCCTGGTGTTTCCGTAGACAAACAGAACCACAAATTGATCATTTACAAGGGTGGCGAATTCAAAGACTTGCAACTCAATTGGACTGTGGTCGAACGAGAGGCTTTTCCTATCACTAAAGCGTGTACCGACCTCGCGTTCATCTTTCTCCAGCCTCGTGGGTTTCGGTTGCTCTGCGATCATGCGAACCTTGTCTACATTTTCGCGCCCCCCACTGAGCTCAAAAAACACGTCTGTGGCCGCTTGCAGAGCTGGCCGATGCTGCTTTGTGGCTTGCCCTACCACATTAAACATGTATCTGGTGAGGTGCATCTATGGGCGGATATTATCTCACGTTGGCACACGCAGGACAAGGAGGTTCTTTCGATGGCGGCCGTGCAGACACGCCGACATTTTTTTGCTCCCGTGGGGTCACTCTCCAGACTTCGCCCATTCGCTGATGAAAATTTTGTTGCTCCTACACTGGAACATGTCCGAGCCGCTCAAGACCTGGCACGACGTGAACGCTCGAATTTGCGAGTCGATTTTGCAGAAGATGGCGGGGTGGTGATGGACACAGGGCGTCCATGGTTTCTCAACGCCGCCAAAGATCTCCTCGCTAAGATTTTTGTCGTGGCGCACTGTGGCAGCCAAGGTCATCGTGGACAGGAACCAATGATTGCCACCATCAAACAACTATTCTACATTCCGCAGTCCTCTGAAAATATTTTGTATTTTGGGTGAGAAGGCGTGTTGGGCAAGCATGTGAAAGGGCCACGTCTCCTTCCCCGACCTTATGGACCATTACTGACAGCTACGAAACGCAATGAGGCTGTACACTGGTATTACCTGTACCTCGAACCTGGACTTGGTGATACGGCATTCCTTCTGGTAGTTAAGGAAGAATTGACCCACTTCTGTGAGTTTATTCCCTGTGTGACACCAACGTCATTCGTTGCAGTGGAGTCACTCGCAATGTGGTCTGCAAGGTTTGGGATATCTGAGTCGCTGCTGTCCGATCAAGGAAGCCACTTTCGCAACGAAGTGGTGAAGCATTGGTGCGCTCGGATGAAAGTAGAGCAGGTGTTTTCACCGGTATACATGCCGTGGCTAAATGGCACAGTACAACGTCTCAACAGGGACATTCTACAAGTACTTCGTGCAACATTTAAAGGAGTACGGACTCGATTTTTACGAATCGCCCTAGCGGCTACATCCGCTGCAGGCCAACTTGAACCATACTCCGGTGCAGTCGCTAGGTGATCCTTCCCCAGCTGAGTTATTTACTGGTTTGCCGCCGTCGACACCGCTTGATACTGTCGTTGGTCGACCGGACGCTGACCACCTACTCGAAGTTGATGTGAACGTGCTGGGGGACGTCTTGTGCGTCTCCGCCATTCGCTTTCAAAAATGCACAAGGAGGTCACTGTACATCGCGATTGAAGTTTTACGCCGACGCAGAGCTGTTGGAGTTTGTTTCTAGTCGAGGAATTCTTCTGGGTGTTGAAGGGTTCCACGATCATCGCTACAGCGAAGTTCTCGGTCTCTAGGAGCTTCTCGTTTCATGGGTCGGCCTTCAGACCATCGAGATTCGTAGGAACCCCTCACGACACTCGTCCAAGATGCTCCGACCAAGGTGCAAGAATATGCGATGGCATGTGGTGACGACGATTTGCGATCGCAATTGGAATAGCGCCGAATTGATGACTCAACATGACACAGTCAAGCTGGGGGGGGGGCAATGCCGCCTCGATTACGGCTAAGATCAAGCTTGAGCTGTGCAAACGTATGAGCCCGGACCTGGCGGGCACACAGCACGTGGTGAAGCGCCTCGGGGAGCTTCTGCATAGCTGTTTAGTGGCCGTAAGTCACGCGGCGCTAGCCTCAGGTGGATGCTGGCACGCGTCCGCCGCTGCATGGATTTGAACTCGTAAGGAGACACCGAGGGTCGTTCTTAACCACGCCGTGTCATGCCATGGCACGAAATTCTGTGATTGGATGAGCCCTAAAGTTTAAAGTAAATGAAATGGCAGGACGTGCCACGGATGGCATCAGCAATTGCCATGTGCCATGCTACTTTATCTTCATTAACGTAAGCTCTAAAAATAGATTTCATGATGACACAATGGCAGGGCAATTCTATGCTTAACCACGCCATGTCATGGCTCAATTTCTAGTGCCATCGCATGGCACGCGTGGTATTATAGTGGGTAAGAGCCGCCCTGATGCTGCAGAAGAAGTGTCAGCTTACGTTCAACTGAATTTTAATCTAGCTCATTAATAAACATACCTGCTTGGTAACAAGAACTAAAACACAAAACTCCACTTCTACATTTGCATTGAGCGACACAACAATGATACGCAATAATAATTTTATTTTTACGGATAATTGCCTCGAACGCACTTCACCTGCACACACCAATGTAATGGGATTATGCAAAAAGAGGAGCCGAGGGGGTTCCTGCTGCACAGAAGACATCATCCATGCATACAAAAAGGCAACCGCTCAAGCTTCAGAGCTCTACCGACGTATACGTGCATATTGCACGTTCTGGATTACTTGCTAACATATGGACTGTACGATGCACTGTCCGGTAGAGCTGTCACCCTCATCTAACGAACCATCGATCTCTTACTTGTACCGACGGAAGAGAAACTCAAGCTGCTCATTCCCGCTGGGCAGCTCGCGGAGTGCCACCAACTCGAGGAAATTGTGGCTGCGATTACCAAGGAGCACCAAACAGCTACCTAATTCGCGGCCTCGCCATCGTTGTGCGACTTCATCCTCATTCTTGGACGTAGTAATCGCGTTACGAGCACGCCGCGTACCTGACTGTCAAGCTAGGTGGCTTCGCGGTCCATATTTTTGGAATGGACTACATTATCAAGGCCGCTAGTGCCTCCGATAGGATGTACTACGTTCACCTAACAAACACGCCGTCTGACCTCGACGACGAGTAGATCTACGGCCTCCTCTCAGTTAGGACTCACTCCGTTGGTTGGATCAACGCGCCAAGTTGAGGTGCTCATGTCTCGGGACAGAACGGTGTGGTTCTCGTCGTCAATATGCCCCAGATCCCGTATCGTGGATGACACCTTTGCCCTGAGAGAGATTCTCTTTCAAGAACTCCCACGACCAGGGTTTGTACAGCATAAGTCTCGTGCTATCAAACTTATTCCTCTTTCCATTGTTGCTAGAAAGACGCCACAGGCGCAGGGTGTAGCTTAACCCGAATCATAACCCCAAAGTACCGCGACATGAGGTGGGCCACGCCACAGCTCCCCCTTCCGTCGAAACTTTGCTTGTGGATAAACTCCTGCTGCTACACCTTTCCTAGGCCCAATACTAGATCTGTCAAAGCCGGAAAACGACACATCATACCAAGAATAGGTCGATGTAACAAGTCGTATATCGATCTCCAAACCGAAGATCCGTACGATGGGTACAGAGTACCAAGTGACATCGGCATAAAGCGCGGATGGCAGAATGATTTTTGGCATTCCTTGCAGTCCAGCTTACTATAAGATCGCTTTTAACGACCCTGATGATAAGGTTGACGGGAAAGACACGGACGTTGATGTTTCCGTGCTTCCGACATCGATTTCCCCGGTCGAAGATATTCTAGAAAAAATGTCTGGTCTCGTATCATGTCGACGCTACTGTTGGCATGCTGACGGAAATTGATATCCCGGAGGATGAAGACCATGAGATGGACACCTTAAAAAACGTGAATGTGGAGGAGGGGCCGACCGCCACTTCCTCTCTCTAAAATGTCATCGTGCCTGGATGGTCCAACTCTATATTTCTTTTGTCAACTCTGCTAAACTACTATCTTGTTGCTCTTCGAGAAAGACAATTCAGCTCAAGCGCTAAGGTTTGAGCTGCTACTCATCGGTTAAAAGTGGCTGATTCTAAATCAGAAGGTTTTTATCTCAAAGAAGTTACCCACATTTCGTTGTTAACCGAGGTCGTGTTGCTTTCAAACTATTACTGTCTGGACGTCATCCGTTCAGTGATCGGACCACAGGTCGGAACGACTGTGACCGCTGCCCATTGGACAACCGATGGCCTTGGGCCTCGGCCAGGTCATTCGTAATGCCATTTTGATCGTATCGAACGTCCTCATGGTACTGCGAAGATAGCAGTGGCGCATCGCTCGAAATTGTATTCGAACGTTCAGTGCGGTGTTCGCGGGTCTCTTCACGCTGTAGATCGAGCCGCCAAGCGGTTGGACCTCATCGAGGCGGTTGGAGAAGACGCGGCACCGATGTGCGACCTGGTTTGGAGTGGGAGCACCCATAGACAGTACATGATGAAAATATAATACGCATAATGTAATGCAGTATCTAAGCCAGAATTAGACATAGCTACACCAGTTATTCCGCCCATAACAAAAAAACTAAAACAAAACATACAGGTGTTTCAAATTTTAGATAACTTCCACCTAAAGCTGAAAACCAACTAAATATTTTAATTCCCGTCATAGGCTCATCGTAGTCGCCTGGGCCCTCTTCGAGTTCCGAGAATAGAACGTTGTTACCTCTGGGCAGCGCCCGCGGCTCTGACGAGCTCTAAGCTTTGCTCTCTTCATGTCGACGGCTCATGGAGCGTTTGTCGTGTCGACGACGATACTCGGGGTGGTATTCTGCCACGTAAAGAGAAGAAGACGCTCTTGCGAATGCAGTTGTGGGTATGAGACCGTCGGAGCAGAGGTGTCGCGACGCGCTGTAGACGTTGGGCCGTGGGCGTAATTGAGGTGCCAGGCATTAAGGATGCAAACGCGTTGCGGAGCAGCAGAACGCAGAAGTGAGGTGTGGTGACCTCCACCGGCAAGACGTGACCTCGCTGTGAAAGTTTTGAGAGCGGAATGTCTCCATCTTAGAGGGGGAGAGTGCAACAGGGTTACATGGTGTGGAGTACACAGGTGTACGGAGTACCCGGTGATTTAACAAACTCTCAGTACGTAAGTTAGAGAGTTAACAAGGTCTCTCAGTACGTTGGCTGAAAGCCACACGTTATGCATTTGATTAGGCTTAACTATGCTCGATAGTTAAACAAATACAGGCGGCTTTGCCACAATATTAGTAAATAAAACATTTCTAGTCTTGAAGCATAAAAGCTAAGGTAATAACCTATAGCCTTGGTCGTGGGCTGTAAGTTCCATTGGAAAGGGAACTTAGAATAAGTGACTCATTGAGTCAAACGTCTTCAATTAGAAGCGAAAAACTAATATTTACACCAATCAGAGTCCGTTGTGCATAGAGGTAATCTATCCCGACTTATTTCCGGAAGTGTCTGTCATTTTTAAGAACGCCAAAATAAGTTCCTATACTTACACAAAGATCTTTGGATTTAGTACAACTATTGCTGGAAACCAACATCGATAAATATAGATTGAAGTGTTGAGCACAAGACACCTTAGCTTCTGAATTTACTATGAAGAGGGCGCCTCGTGGCCTCGACACGCCCGCTGGCACCGTCGGGCAAGAAGTGGCTGCTGTGAAGGTGTTCAGCGAGTTTTTGTGCTCAGCGGACCTAAACAGTGATGCGCTCGATAAAATGCATGCATCTCTTGTAGCAACTACTAGCCTACCAATGCAGAACTTTTACTCACTTTTAACAGCTTTCTCAATTTTCCTACAGACCAAAAAAGTAGCAAGTATCATGCTGCGGATGGTTATCTAGCCAAGCCAGCTGCCCTGAGGTACTTCTCTCAGGTGGTAAATTTGCTAAGAGAACGCTACACCATCGCGTGTAGATTGAGCTACCTGAATCCTCTCAGTGATTCGCTTCAAGACTCGAAGCGTATCGCTAAAATTCGTGACAAGATGACGAGTGTGATTGATGAACGAAATTTGCGTGCGAATGTGCAGACAAATGATGCCCCAGGCTGTACTGTAAACGACCTATCCTTGCTAGTGGATCATTTAGCTGTCCATGCTGATGTTGCCACTGGGCTCAAGAACATTCATGACGGAGCTCTGCTTACGAAGATGTGGCACACATTTGGTAGAGCGATTGACACGTGCTTTGCTAGAAAGCAACAACTATCGGTGGCAGTTTCTGGTGAACTATTTCTTCATATTGCGAGAATTAAAACCTCAGTCGTACAAGGTGTCTCTATTTACAAGTCTGCAGAACGCTGGGAGCAATGCATGCTCCATGCATTTGGCATGCATTTTGTCTGCTACGATGAGCCGTCCGAGTACCTATTTCCGCTCGTTCCTCGGTACGCGGTGTCCGAGCTTCCTGGCAGCCAGACGTACACGCAGGAAGAAGCTGTAATATTCTGGGAGAGCCTGCAACACGATGTGAAAAAATAAAGTGAACAGCCGTTAAAACGTGAGCGCAAACGTCCGAATATTGCAGGTTACGTTACCGAAGTTATGCGTGATTGCTTGAGGGAGATGCAGCAGGAAACGCGGCAGGAAGTGACGGCCAACATGACCAGCCATTCCTTGCGTCGTGGGGCTGCTGCATATGCTAACGCGTCTCCGAAGCTTGCGATCCAGTGGATATCAACACGAGGCGCGTGGCTGTTGGACTCGTTGACTAAAGCGTTTGCA